GCGGTCGCAGCGCCAGCCCCGCGGGGCGCACTCGCCGCTGCCGCACGGAAACTCGAGGGGGCCGCAGGGGGGCGCTGCGGCGGGCACCCGCGCTAGACCCGGCCCGCCGGCCCCTCCGCCGCCGCCGCCGCCGCCTGCCTCCCGGTGCCCGCCCTTCCCGAGCCCGGACTGCCCCCACCTCCCCACGTCCCGTCGTTCCCGCCGTTTGCTCCCCGACTGGTTTCCCAAAACCTCTCCTCTCGTCCAGGCATTCCACTGACCACCCCAACCACCTCACCTCAGCGGTTGGGGGCGTGGGGGCATGTCCGCAAGTAAGATCTGGACTCTTCCAGTCCCTCTTAAACCCCCTTCCCTTTGTGCATTCTGGTGTCTTCAGGAGGCTGCGTCTGTGCCAGCCCCCATGCCCCAATGCCTCCCTCTGAGGCGCCCTCCCCACTCTTCTGTCCCAGGCCTCGGGACTGCAGTTTTCTTACCCCTTTTCGTCCAGGACACTCACCAGGGCTGGCACTGGCCAGGGGAGTTGGTGCAGTCTCCCCAGAGCCAGCGGAGGGGCCCGGCAAAGTGCCAGCCGGGGGAGTGGGCAGCGAAAGGAAGGGGCAGTGCCCGGGTCCCTCATCGGCTCCATCTGGGCAGTCCCAGGTTCCGTCACACAGCAGGATGGCCCCCACGCAGGTGCCATCAACACAGGACACCTCCCCAGGAGTGCAATTCAGCTGCCCTGCAGCCAGAGAAAGGAGGAGCTGGTCCCAAACACTGCCCTGTAATCCCACTGTTTGGGGTGCCCCTGTGCACACATTACAGGTGCCGGCTTCCCAGCAGGAGCCTGAATTGGTGGAGGAGGGGAGGCAGGAAGGTTGGGGCTCCCAAGACAAGCCTTTGGGAGGGGGGTGCCTTGTGGACTGGAGTCCAGAGCGGAGACCACCCACCCAGACAGGCCTCCTCATCGGCAGCGTCGGGACAGTCGGGATGTCCGTCACAGAGCAGGGCGGGGGGCAGGCAGCGCCCATCAGCACAGGCCAGCGAGTCGTGGGGGCACGGGCAGCCCTGCTCATCCGTCCCATCTCCACAGTCGTCCCGCCCGTCACAGAGCAGGGCCAGGGGCAGGCAGCGGCCGGAGCTGCAAGACATCTGGCCCTCCCCACAGCCTGGGGTGGCACAGCCTGGCATGGGGCAAGCAGGCAGGGGCAAGATGACAAAGGGTCCTAGAGAAGCCCCTGACCCTGGAAAGACCAGAACAGCCCTGCCCACCAGCCATCGCTGCCGGCGGTGTGAGCAGCAGCTCAGGAAGCCGTTCAGTTTCGCATAGGAGACACCCGCACAGTAGGAGAGACCCATCACTCAGTCACTGCCCCCCACAGACGAGGACACTCACCCTCCTCGTCCGAGCCATCGCCACAGTCATCCTGGTTGTCACAAAGCCACCCGTGGGGCACACAGTGCCCACTCTCCTGGCACGGGGCCTCTCCCTCCACACAGCCGGGCACCGGCTCCTCACAGCGGGTCCTGCCACTCCCGCAAAGCCACTGACTTTCCTGGCATGTGCTGAGCACACAGCGTCCCGGGATCAGCCACAGCGCTGGGCTTTGGCAACTCAGGGGCCTGGGGCTCCCCTGAGCCACCCCCCCCTCCGCACTCACCAGTTCCCACAGTCCTTCTGCTGCACAGTCCCCGGGGGAAAAAAGCTGCCCCCTGACTCACAGGGGCAGGAAGCTGGTTCTAGGCAGACTCCTCCTGGGATCACAGAGGGTAAGACTGGAGCAAAAGGGGCACAGCGGCCCCTAGTGCCAGCCTTGTCACCCGGGCCTTGTGGCTCTCTTCCCCCTCCCAGGGTCCTCCCCCCCCCCCTCTTCTGACCCTACACACCATGGAGCAGAGTCCCCTCGGGGCAGAAGCAGCCCTCCACGCAGGCGACAGCCTGGCAGTGCCACCCAGGTTCAGGACCATGGTCATGGCAGGTGGGGGGGCATATGGGGCCACAGGCCTCATACACCTGGCCCCCTTCACACTGCAAAGCTGGGTGGAGAAGAGAAGGCTTGGGTCACTGAGGTGCAACGGCACCAGGATGCAACAAGCAGGCGAGCCAGCCCAAGCAGATACTCATGGAGGGCACGGGGTGCACGGTGTAGACTCTTGCTGAGCCCCTCCCAAGGCCGTTGGCAACATGACAGTTCTACAGGAAAGCAACCTTGCCCGTCTGGTTCATCTACGACAGCATGAACACCACACATATCTGCCCTTTAATGAATGCATGGCTTTCTGGCAGGCCAGGAGGAGCACCCATGAAGGAGCGGAATGGGCAGTGGGATTGGGCATCGGGGACCCAGGGCAGGGCACACTCACGGCAGAGCTCCTGGCTGCGCCAGCGCACAAAGAGCCCATGCCGGGCACACTCATCTGCATACGTGGCAATGGCCGAGCAGAGACACTCACAGTCACCCCCCGAATCACAGCTGTGGAAGGGATTATTCAGCCCCTGGACGCCCTCCCCACCCCCAACCTACCCATTCCCACCCTGTCCCCAGGCTCGCCCCTCTCACCCGCAGGCATCATGCACACACCGCTCGTAGTGCTGCTGTGGGGGCACCTCTGCATGGCACCGGGCAAAGAGCGACTGCAGCATCACCCCGCAGCGGGCGTGGGCCCAGCTGGCCCGGTGGGCGTTCACCTGCAGGCAGAGCAGGTCCACACCGTGGACCAGCTAGACCCCATCTGCAAGCACCCAGCCTCTGGATCCTCCCCCCTGCAGGTTTCTGTAGCTGCCCCCACTCCCTCCCCCCATTCCCACCCATGCTCACGGTGCAGGGGTGTGGCAGCTCTCCTGGCTCAGGGCAGAGAGGATTCAGGTGCCAGGAGTGGGCAGCCAGCTCAGCTGTGGGTTCCAGGACCCCCTGGCGGCTCCGCAGGTCATTACTGGCATCTCCATCAAAGTCCCCACACAGACCAGACACACGGCCCCGGAAGTGCGGGGACAGCTGCACCAGGACCCGGGTGCCTGGGCAGAGGGGGCAGCAGGGGTCAGCATTGTGGAGAAAGAAGACAAGGGCGGCTATTCCGTGGGCCTGTCTGACCATCTGCCCAGGGACCACAACCCAATAAGGGGTGCTCGTGCCCTCTTTTGGGAGGATGATTGGCGATGGTAAGAGACCTAGATCTGGAGGGCGAGGGCAGAAGCGGGACCAGGGAAATTCTCCAGCAGGCCAGATTCTGGGAGGGATCCAGGCTCCAAGACAGACTGTGACACCACCAGCCCCAGAGGCCTTAGTGACCAGAGACTCAGAGGGCAACCTCGCTGTGCCGACCAGGCAACTCCTTCCCCTGTCAGGGGTTACCCTGGTTTTCCTCGATTTCTCAGTAACAGTTATTTCTAAAATGCCTACCGCTTGGGTTTGGGTGGTGGGATGTTAGGAGATTTATTTTCACTTTTTCTTTCCCAAACTAGGTATTTTCTAAATATCTCTTAGGTGAGGCACTGTTGCTCTTACGTTGAAGAGAAACATAATTTTAAGAGTGCGATTTGGGAACTCCCGCCACTCGTATGGAAGAGAAAGGGTTTAGGGAGAGCCAGCCTCATGACACTAAGGTGGGCATGGGTCAGATGGTTAAGGTTAAGGTTGGGGCCTGACCTCCATCCCAGAACAGGCTGAAGCCCAGGCGGGTTGTGAGTAGCAGGAAGAGACCAGCACGACGCAGGCTCAGCCCAGGGCCCGTGTAGACCTTGGGGAGTGTTATGCTCGCCCCATTCACCATCACTGCTCGGCCTGCGGAGGAAGAGAGGCTTTCAGGCCCTGCCTCGGAGTAGAAGGGCTCCCAGATCCCCAGGAGGCCCTCACCAGCCTGCCGTCCAACCTTTCCTTTTGCTTCTCTAGCTATGAGACCTTGGGCAAGCCTCTGGACCTTAATTTCTTGGAGCCTTCCAGAATTATGATTCCCACACAAGAGGAGAGAGGAAAAGCACCAGCCCCACTTCCCTGATGGTAAGCAGTGGGGAACCCCGGGCCTTGGTCACCCGGGCAAAACTGTGATGCCACCCAGTACGCCCCTCCCTGGCCATGCCACCCTTCAATGTTATAGCCACCTCTGAGCATGTGCACAACGGTGCTCTGTAGTTGCACGGTCAGTGCCTTGGTGCAGGTGAGGCCACTGGCCCCACAGGGCAGGTTCTGGGCTGAGACTGTGAACTGGCCGCTGGCCTCTCGCACCAGCAAATATTCACAGGCTCCAGGGAAGGTGAAAGCCAGCCCGTCGAATGTCACATAGTGGGGGGCACCCGATGCCTGGCACCATCCACGGCACTGGCGGCTCGTGCAGTGCCACTGCCGACCCTGGCACACACTGTGGGGGGCGGTGGGGAAACAGAGTCATGAGGACACGAAGCCAGAGCTGTATCTAGGGGATGCACCTGGTCCAGGTTCCACGCAACTCCCGACAGACCCTCAGCTTGGGGGAATCCTGGAGAGCTCCCGTTGCCCAGGCCAGTCTGGATATCCCACCCCACCCATCGTCCCTGTCCAAGGGGCATACCAGATGTTGCAATCCTCCTGGATGGTGGCGTTGGGCGGGTACCACTGCCCGCCGTGACGGCAGGGACAGAGCTCAGGAGGCACACAGCGTTCGTTCTGGGCAGAGGCCGGGGACAAAGGGGCACCTTGGAGGGCTGCCTGACCCACCGCCCACTGTTTCAGACAGCCAGGGGACTAGGGCAGTGCCATGGTTACAGCAGGCCCCACGGTGCCCCATGCAGCCCCCTCCCAGACTCACCAGCAGCACGGTGCCTGGGGGACAGACACAGCTCCCTGTGCTGTCCGGGGGGCAGGAACGGTTGGCACGCAGGTTGTCACAGGTAAGGAGGCAGGCACCAGGGACATAGACAAGCTCACGGGGGCAGAAGGTCCGCTGGGGGCCACAGCGGTGAGCAGTGCAATTCCAGAGGCCCCTCTCCTGGCAGACACTGCCGAGGTCACGAGGGAGGTAAGAGGCAGGCCCAAGAGAGCACTCACCTCCAGGCGCCTGGTCTGACCTGGGAGAATCTCAGGAACCCAGAAGGTCCAAGCCCCTAATGTTGACTCTGGAGACCTGAGCGTCTCACCCCCAAACCCTAGTTACGAGCACAGGAAGTGGGGCTGCCCCCAGCACCAGCCATACCTGGGATGGGCATGTTTACCCTTTCCTGCCCCAGCTCCAATGGGACCATTCTCTGGGCTCTGAGGCTCTTGAAGAACTCCATTCCCAGCCCGGGTAGGAGAGGGATTCTCTAAAGTCTCATCCTCACCCACCAAGTCCTGACCACTGGCCTGGACTCCACAGGTCCAGAACTGGCCTTTACTTCTCCCTAATCCTTGGAAGAGCCTCTGAACCAGACTCATCCAGAATTCAGAGATCTAGGTTCTAGTCTGTCATCATTAACAAGCTGTGTGACTCTGCAAGCTGTTTGGCCTTAGTCGAGCCTGAGTTTCCTCATCTGCCGAATGGGAACAATTCTTCCACTTCCTACTTTATTAGGTTATTGTAAGAATTCAGTAAAATGAAATAAGATAACGTACAAGAATGCTTTATAGGCCAGAAGGGCTAGCAATGCTCTGTTGTCCCACGTGTGCATACCGTGCCCTAACCCACGGGGCTACAAGCCCAGCCCCTTTTCTCTAAGCTCTATTTCTTCACCCCCAAGCTCTTTGCTTCCCCCCCAAGACCACTGCCCTCACCAGTGGTTGCAGTCCCTCATGGTGGCACTGCCGGGAGCATAGCGTTGAGTTCCAAGCTGGCAGGAGCACAAGTTGGGGGGCACGCACTCGCCTTCGGGGTCCCATAGCAGCCCTGGGGGGCAGTTACACCCAGCCACACAGCTGCCCAGCTCCCCACAGTCTTCTGGCTCCCCACAGTTTTGACCACACGCCGGGGCACACTCCTGGTACTCCTGGCCCCCGGGACACAGGACAGCTGGGCACAGAGACACATGCAGGTCAGGGACATAACTGCTGCTACTCTGCCCACCCTTCTGGAATTCGCACCCCCTACGCCTCTGGAAGAAGGCAAACTCAGCAATGTGCCATGGTCAGAGGCCCTCCTGGGGACCTTCCCTTGTTTCGAAGCTTTTGGATCCTTCTGGGCTACTCCTAGAAGAGGGCTGGGAGGAGCACCCTGGGGCTAGCTGGCTGAGCAGACTCACGGCAGAGTGTCTGGGTCCTCCAGAGAGACGGGACACCCTCCCGGGCACAGCGACGAGCCAAGGCAGCAAGCACAGGACACAGGCAGTCCTTGCCAGGAGCACAGCCACACACGGCTGCCAAGCAGCGCAGGTGGAACAGTTCCCTGTCCACCAGCCCTTGGCACTCCTTGCAGGGAGAGGAGGGAAAAATTGAGCCAGCTCCTCCTCCACAGATTCCCCCATCCCCTCTGGTCCCCACTGCCACCTCCCTGTGCTCGGAAGCCCTGCCCACGGCAGGGAGCCGGGCCCTCCCAGTAGCCCAAGAGGAGAGCAGAGCAGGTACTGACCCCACCTTACAGGTGCAAACAGGAGCACCCCCAATCCGGCTACCTGGAAAGTTGGGCCATGCAGGACGGCACAAGCTGCCTCGGCAAAAACATGGCGCTGAGAGTGGGTGCTGCAGGGGGGAAGTGGGGCGCTGTCTTCTGAGGGGCACCTTCCCTCGCCTGCCACCCGGAACTTGCTAGCAAAGGCTGCAACGCTGGTCTCCACATCGCCAGCGGGTGTCAGGAAGTCATCCTGCTGGTTCCAGGTGAAGGTGCCGCACAGACCCTGCACCTGGGCCACAGGAGTGGGCATGGGACGGTCAAATCGGGCCCAATGTAGCCTTGCCCAGCCACTCACCTGCCCCCTAGCACACCTGGTGGGCATGGCGCGGGTCCAGAGTGATGTAAGCTGCAGGGTCAGACACTCCCCAGAGGACCTGGGCCCCGGGCCAGCGCAGCAGTAGGAAGGTGGAGGAGGCTCGGGAGACACTGAGGCCCTTAGGCCCACTCCATGGCAAGCCCACATCCTGCCCATCCACCAGGACGGCCCCTGGAATAGGGAGCCTGTGAGGGTCTGCCCCTGCAGGGCTGGGCTGATGAGGATTGGGGGTGAGCACATTGCAGGAGGGGGCTACCTGAGTCTCTGAGCTGGATGTGGGTGTCCCCCAGGGAGACAGAGATGGCGTGGAGGCAGCTTCCAGCGTCACAGGCCCCATGCTCCAGCACAATCAGCAGCTGCCCCTTGGAGAAGTCCTGGGGCAGATGTTGAGGAATACGGTGGGGTGGGGCTTGGGGGCGGGGAGGATCCAGGGACAGGGTCTGGTCTGCCCCTTTTCCTGTTCCACAGGACACTTACAGCACACACCTGGGGTCAGCTCCCACCCATCACGTGTGCTGACCACCTTCTTGCTAGCCAGACTGTCTGCAAGGTATAGGGCTTAACTCTGGCAAGCGCAGACACTTGTGATCATCTGTGTGTGTGTGCGTGCGCGCTTGTGCGCGGACAGGCATGTGTGTGTATGTAAGTAGGTAGAAATGTTTGTGTGTGTGTGTGTGTGTGTGTATGCACGCATGTGTGTGTGTCTCCATGTTGGAGCAAGATGCCTCCCCTCTCCCTCCCTGTGGCTATGTGTGCTCTATATGTGTGTCTGTGTGTATACACATGTTAAATCTATGCGTACTTGCATGAGCCCGCGGCATATGTGCACACCTGTTTGTGTCTATGGACCTGAACTTGGTAAATCACCTAACTATTGGGGGAGGCGTGGAGAGGAAGGAGAACCCATATTTCGTCAGGGGTTGTTTTGCAGGAAACCGCCTGTGATAAGCCCAGCCTGCCCCATTTGTGAGAAAGTACGGTGAGGATAGGTTTTGCTTCGTGCCCCTGGGCTAGGGTGGCAATGACAGAGGAACATTCTCAGGAACCCGAGGAGGGGTGAAGACCGGAAGGGGAGGTTTGGGGGGGGAGGGGGAGGTGTCTGCGGAGAGCCATCCTCCCTCTAGAGTCGGTTCTCTCTCAGCTTTTCCCGGGATGACTCTGTGTTTGTCGTTGATTTATGTGGAGGTTTCCTGACAGTCACCTGCCCCCCACAGCAACCCCACGAGGACTTCTCCCGCAGCTCATCCCCTACCCACCTGCACCAGGCTGGAGCGGCAACCTGGGCTGCCGCGGAAGGAGAAGCTCCGCCCATCGAAGGTGACGTAATGCCCGTCCCCGCCCACCGCGCACTCGGCGGGGCACTGCGCCTGCGCGCAGAGCCAGCGGCCGTCCTGGCACACGCTGTAGGCACACGGGGCGGGGAGCGCGCTCCGATTCAGCTTCACGACCTCCCGCCCCCAACACCGCGGCCCCTCCCCTCCCCCAGCAGCCCCTCTAACTCTCTTAGGTTTGGAGGTCAGCTGGTGGAGGTCGCTGGCTAGGTCTTTAAGCGGGGCCATCAATTATGCCGTGAGAGGTCACCGGTCCCTTGTGAGGGGCCCCCAAGGGGAGGCAGGTTGAAGGACATAGCATGAGGGAGGGCTCCGCGGGGACCACGGCGCTTCCAACCCCAGCCAAAGGGCCAGCGAGGCCCGCGGACCCACCACGGGTTGCAGAGCTGGCGCACTGTGTCCCCAGGGGCGTAGCGCTGGCGCCGGTGGTAGCAGGGGCAGCGGGCCGCAGGGACACAGAGGGCGCCGTCCCAGAAGAGGCCAGGCGGGCACTCGCAGCCGCTCACGCACGCTTCCTGGCAGGACCCCTCCCCTCCCTCGCCCACTGCCGAGCAGCTGGGCGGGCAGGCCGAGGCGCAGTCAGAATACAGCTGGCCCCCAGGGCACAGGCGCTCTGCCGGCACAGGAGTGGGCTGTGAGGTCCGAGGGCCCCCTCCTCCCGCCAGACCCCGCTGGCCACAACCCGAGGAGGGGGTGCTCAGGAGGTGGCCGGTCGCTCATGAAACCAAGGCCACAGGGCTGCTGTCAGTCAGTTCCCAATTCCGCAGGGTGGGGAGGCCAGGGCCTATGCAAAGAGGGTCAGCCTCCAGACCTACCGCAGAAGCCTGGCTTCCTCCAGCCCACGTGGATATGGTGCTTGGCACACTCTTGGGCATAGTTGGCCAAAGTGGTGCACACGGCCTCCCGCCGGCTCTCGCGCCCACTGCCTGCTGGGGCCCCAGAACAGTAGGCAAAGAGGCAGGTCTGGTGGTACTCAGCAGGGGGGACCTTCAGAGAAAGGACAGGCCCTCAGTCAACCAGACTCAGCAGCACTCCCTCCTCCTACTTGGATCATGCCCTGACTTACAACCAAACAGAATGAGCACTAGAAGGGAGCTCTGAGATCATACATACATACAAAGCAATGCCAGGACCAGATTCCCTGTTTGGCACCTCTGTAGCACCCCCTGCTCTCCGCCTCTCTGGTGGTGGTTACCACCCCCACCCCCACCCATACCTGAGCATGGCATTCCCTGAATGGACTCTCCAGCAGCTGGTGGCACACATCCTGGGCTTCAGCCTCCAGCTGGCCAGCCTCCATGCCTGCCTCTGTGCCTCTCACGGGGTCCTCACAGCCCTGGGCCGCTTCCACTGCATCCAGACACCCAGGCTAGAGACCATTGGAGTCAGGTTAATGGGCTGGGATGAGGGACATTGACCAGGACACCAGGAAAGTGGCTACTACCCTCATGGCTGCTTCAAGTCCCCATTGTCATGGCCACCAGCCCAGACATCCTGAAGCTTTTGGGGGCAACAAAGTTGTAAGCCTGGGTAGGGTGTGGGGGAGTTGTGGTCCCATCAACCCACAGGCAAGAGATTTGATAACCCAAACTGGTCAGTGACCAGGTCACTGAGTGTGTCCCCTGGGCAGTCAGTTCACCCCAATGCCATGGGCAGCACCTTAAATTCCACGGGACCCAGAGCCTTCCCCAGACCAAGGATCTGGGAGAGGGCCAGGCCTGGTCCCAGAGAAAAAGCCAGTGATGAAGACAGCAGAGGCTTGAAGATGTCAGAGAAGCCAGGAGTGGGGGGCCAACTGGGGAGCAGGGCAGGGAGCCCAGGCTCCCCGAGGGCTGCAGTCTCACCTCTGAGTCAGGGAGCCTCCAGGAATTCCCAAAGGTGGCAGCTAACACAGCCAGTCTCCCTCCTGGCTCCAGGAAGTCATCTGGGGAAGGGTGAGGCAGAGTGCTGTGTCTGGGGTCTCCAGTCTCTCCTTCCCTCCTAAACCAGCAACCAAGTCACGCCCACTTACCCTCAGGCCGGCCACTGTAGACCCCACAGAGACCTTGAGTTTGTCCCTGGAGCTCGTAGTCCACAGAAACGGAGACTGAACCGGACCTGTCCAGCTGCACAACGACCCCCAGGCCCCCCGACAACACCAGCCAGTCCCCTTGCCATTGCAGGCTCAGCCCTGGGCAGGAGAAGGAAGGAGTCACACTCCCCACTCTTCCCACCATGACACCAAGGCTCAGACTGCCGGGGAAGGAGAGGAGATGGAATTCTTACAATTCGAGAGAGCTCTGCACTTGACACCCTTTAAAGGAGAAGCGATTGGTTTCCCGTCGGAACTGTCCTTGAGAATTTCATGGACACTATGGACGCTCTCACAAGTAAACTACAAAGCTCACGTGCACGCACACACAACCCCACCCACTTCACTTCATGGACTGAAAACCAGGGCAAAAGTTCTGGTGGGACAGAGACCCGTCTAGTAGCTCAAAAGCCCTTCCTCACAGCACTGGTAGAGGGGGGTGGGGGGAACTGAGATTCAAAGAGGTGTTTGTTTTTTCTTTTCTGAAGATGTTACTTTGTTTATTTTTTCATTGTGAGAGAGAGAGAGAGAGAGAGAGAGAGAGAGAGCGCGCGCATGAGCAGGGGGAAGGAGCGGAGGGCTATCAGTGCAGAGCCCTATGCAGGGCTCCATCTGTCAGAACCGTGAGATCAAGACCTGAGCCAAGATCAAGAGTTGGACACTTAACCAACTGAGCCACCCAGGCACCCCAAGATTTTATTTTTAAGTAATCTTTACATCCAACATGGGGCTCGAACTCACAACCCTGAGATCAAGAGTCCCATGGCAGCCAGGTACCCCCAAGACCCAAAAAGGTTAAGCAGAGGTACTTGCCCCAAGCCACACTGTGAGGGCATGAGTGGGGGTGGCTTGCAGGAGAGGCTTGTGGGAGACGAGGTCTTGGCCCCTCAGCAGGCTCCCTCATTTCCAAATACTGCCCAACAGTAATGGGGGTGGAGCAGCAGGCTCCCACCCAACTGCCCCTTTTGCTGTCCCCTGCTCTGGGGGATAGGCAGACTGTCCCAGGGGAACAAATGGGGCCCTGGGCAGTCTCCTGCTCCCCACAGCTCCCTTACCCTGGAGCAGCCGAGACTCCCCATCAGGTATCAGCTGCCCATTCACAGAGACATTTTTACCCTGGATCAGCACCTCCTCGGGTCCCATCATTACCCGGGCCTTTGGGGAGACACAGAGCGGAAGAGGTGTTCAGTGGCTCGCCTTCCCCCGTGTCCAGCTCCCTCCCTGTGGTCTTCCCTCCCTCCCTCCCTCCCTCACCAGCTGACAGTGCCCAGGTTGGGGGCAATGCCCCCTGGGCGTGAGGTGGACAGCCCAGGTGGAATCAGCAGCGCCTGCCAGCAGGTAAGTGCAGCGGCCCAGGAAGTGGTAGTGACGCCCGTCAAAGGTTCGGTAGTGGAAGCCTGACCAGGTGGTGCAGGTGGCCGCCGGCTGCTGGCGCTGGCTCCAGAACTGGGCCACGGCCCCCACCAGGGGCTGCAGGGAGGCTGGAGAGGGAGCGCTGCCTGGAGGAGATACACCGACTGTGAGTCTCTGAGTGTGCAGGTAGGAGGGTGAAGGAGGAGGAGGACATGGGGCTTCTCCCAGAGTGGGAGGCAGGTGGAGAGTTCATGGTCCCTCTGGTGGGCCAGGATGGGAGGTGACTCATCTGAGAGCACAGGGGAGTGGGCAGGGGCCCTGCAGGAAGGCCCAGAGCTCCAGAAATCTATGTGGTAGCCCTCGCAGGGGGAGAAAGTGGTTGCCAGGACCGCAGACCCACCTGGGAGGTGTCGGCCAGGGCAGCTGAGGCAGGCCTGGGAGCTGCCATCCCGCCAGCTGTGTCCCCAAGGCCAAGCACAGCACTCCTCCAGGCTTCCCGCAGATGCATTAGCTGAGCCTGGCTGCAGCTGGCACTGCTGTGTGGCAAAGCAGTGGCCCCCAGGGCTGGCTTCTGCAAGGGCTGCAGTGGATAGAGGGAGAGAATAGGGCGGCCCAGACAGTCAGCCTGGGCCCAGCTTCCCTCCCCAGGCAGCCTCCATGAAACCACAGATCTGGGCAAATAGCAGGTGCTTACCCAGAGTGCAGTGTGTGCCCCCCCAGCCTGGGCAGCAAGCCGTCACTGTCCGGTTCCTTGCCGCAGGCCGGGTTTCTGGGGGCCTGGGTCCACCAAGCAGGCAGCAGAGAGAAGATGTTAATTTTTCAGCCCAGCCCCTTCCCGGTCCCTGAGAATGGCCTGGGACGTTTCATCTGGTCACCTATTCTCTGAGTGGCTTTCTCATATAATTTCCCTTCCTGGTCTTGATTTCCCCTTGTGCAATGTGAGAGTGCTATTGGGAAGGCAGACTGGAGGGTAGGCACAAGGAGCAGACATCAGGCCTCCCTGCTCTGCCTGCTCCCCTCCTTGCCTGTCCCCAGCCCCCCACCCTCCACTCTTCCTGAGCCCAGCCAGACCCACTTCCCAAATGCCCGCTTCTCCAGGGCACCACCCAGTTCACCTTCTCCCCCCACCCCCAGGATGTTGGCTCCGTTGCTCCCTGCTGCTCAGCGGCCAGCCCAGACTCCAACCCTCACTCACTTGTAGATGGGACAGAGCCCTGCAGGTCCGCTCCGGGACAGGTCGAGTCGCCAGCCCAGGCGCTGGTAATGGTAGAGGCTGGTGCAAGGCACCAGGCCCTCCTGGCGGGGGGTCACTTCCTCCTCCACCAGGAAGGTTTCCGTCCGCTCGCACCACCGCCTGCCCACAGATGGGGAATGACAGCCACTGCCCCCAGCCCTTCTGTTGCCAAGAAGCCCTGCCCGCAGAAGAGTTAGTGAACTGAAGAGGAGGCTGGGTGGGAGTAAGAAGCGGAGGGGAGGGGAGTCGGGCTGCCCCAGAGGGGCCTGTTCATGAGGCAGGAGAAAAGGATCTTAGTCAGAGGGGCCCCAGGCTGGACTGCTCACCCGTTAGCCAATGCCCATGCCATCCCAAAGAGGAGGGCAGGGAGCAGCATAATGCTCCCCCCACGTCACCTCTGGGGGACTAAGAGGCTTGGGCTTGGGGAAGGTGATGGCTGTGGCCAGTGAGCAGAAAGGCCAGTGCTGGCCTTCCCCGCCCCACACCACGGTCTACTTCAGCCGGGTGTCAATGTGTCCAAGGCAGCCCAGACAGTGACGGCGAGGCCCATGGGACTGGGGAAGCTTTATCTCAGCCCCATGCCCTGGGGCACCAGCTGCTCGGAACCAGATTGGACCTGCCTGCACATTGCACAATCCCCTCAGAGGCCAGTTCTCCCTGGAAACAGTCCCCTTCCGGCCCTTGTGTGTGTGTGTGTGTGTGAGCTCAGTGGGGGAGTGCATGTGCCCCAGGCCACACAGCCAGACACTCGGAGCCTCTGATATTTTTCCACCCTCAGGCTATACCACAAATTAACGTGGACTCTGGACAAGCCACCCTCTCTTTCTGAGCCATAATTTCTTTGCTAATAAAAAATTCAGGGGCTTCCCAGGGATGCTTGGGTGGGACTCAGGGGCTCTACTTTGATATCGTGTACGTGCACATTTCTGAGGATAGTTCCTTAACTGTAAATTAAATTCTCAAGAGGAACTATGACCCCACAAAATGGTTAAGAGTTATTGTGCCAAATGACTGATATGGTCTTCCAGCCCTAAAATTCTGATTTTATGAGTCTCTCCCTGCCCCCTTTCCTGCCTCTTCCTGCCCTTTCTCCCACTAAGCACCCGTGAAGCCTGGACCAGTGAACAGAAGGAGCTGAGTTTCCAGGCTGGTTGGACTGTGCAGAGATAGAGGGAGAATATGTGCCCTTTTCTCAGTGATCTGACTTCTTACTGGGGGTGATTATGTGTGGCTGGCTGGGTTCACCTTTCACCCTGGTCTCCTAAGAGAGTCTCCTAGGGTCCAGAATCAGGAAGCCTGGGCAGGGGAGCACAGCAAGCCTCAGGGAGGAGTGGAGGAGCGGCTTGGGTAGGAAGTAGGGAGGGAGGGTAGGAGACAGAAGGGGCTGGAAGCCAGCCCCCCAGCCCTGGGGGCAAGGCAGCCGGATGGGGATAATCTGAGCATCCGGTTGGGGCAGCAGGTGGCCTGGGTGAATCCTGGTTACTTCTTGGTTACCAGCTCCCAGGACACCCAGGCTGGAATGTGGCCTGGGCCTTAGATTCCATCCCCTGGGCCTTAGAATCCCCCCCTGCTCTCCCACTGAGCATCTCACACAGTTACCCCACCTGGGGCAAGGAGGCTGCTGGGAACCAGAGCCATGCTAGGCATTTCTCCTGGGCCTACCATTGGTCCTGTAGCCCAAAGAGGGTTCAGAGTTCCTCAGGGATCTCTCAGTGGGGTGCTCAGAAAAGACCAGGGCCCAGCCATGGACATGTTTCTGTTCCCAGTGTCTCACGCATGTACCCTATACACTCTCCCCCTGCTGCTTCCCATGCTTATACCCCTGATGCAGGTCTCACAAGGGCAGACAGGTGCTCATGCCCCACCCTAGCACACAGCGACACATTCTACTCCCAGGGCCGTGAGCGGGCTAGGCACTGACTCCTGAAGCAGCCCATCCAGGAGGTCAGAGAGTGCTTCCCAGCTGATTCCAAGATGCCCCCTGCGCTTCCAGGTGCCACCTGCTCCCACGACTCTCCCAAACATCAACCAATATTGACGGTGTCCCTGCTGTGTGCCGTGCTTCTCTTCCAAGGACTACATTCCCAGCTTTGGATTCTAACCACAGCTGATGAGGCTGCGCTTGGATTGGAAAAAGAAACCCAAGTCACAATCCCCCTTTCCCCTAAAGGGGGCAGGAGGGAGAAAGTTGGAAGTCAGGGGAGATTGGAGAAAGAGATTAGGGAGAGGGCGCCTGGAATAACCAGCCCACGTTTCAGCTCCTGGAGCACAGGATGTGAGGAGCTTTCAGGAAGAGTCAGGTGCCCGGGTGGCAAGGCCAAAGAAAAACATCATAACCCGGGGCAGGGACCCCCAAGTCCCTCCAGGAGCGGATCTGAGGGCTGAGGGCATCCCTCCACACCTAACTGGTACAGGTTTCCAGGCCAGGAGGAGGGCCAGCCCCCACCCCGCCCAAAGAACTCTTCCC